GTGCTAGGATTACAGATGTGAGCTACCGCGTCCGGCCCACAAATGGTAGTTTCTTAAAGGTTAGTTGCAATCTATTAATAGAATCTAAATCATATCAATGAACTTATTGCAATCTCTTACACTACACTGGATTGGTCTATCTTGCCATCGAATGGATCTTTTACCTATGTATAATTTTGAAATCCTATAAATTCCTTGCTCATTTGAAAAATATTGGTTCTCTGAGTTATACAGATCTTCTAAAGGTTGACTTTACATTACACAATATCAAAAAATTGCACTCATTAATATTGCCACCAGTCTCATCAGAAAATTCTTTAAGTATTAGAAAACTGCCAGGCTCATGCTGGCAGATACAAGTTTTCCAAAAATTCTCACTTTCTCTCTAATTGTATCACTGGCAACAAGTCCTATTTTTTGTTTCCTTTGAAGATGACCATTGCACCTCATGTGCATTTCCCATTTTACACATGGAATATTAAAAAGATGTTATTAAGGATTTAATAAAATCAATAATTTTCTTGCTTTATCAAGGACATGTTAAAGTGACATTGGTCTTCTCTCCCCCTACACTGTGAGTCCGTGGCTCTAAAGAATACAGTGACTCTACTACAGTTTGGTGTCGCTGCGTCGATTTGTGCTAAGGAGCCAGCAGTTTTGCTCACCGTTGCTTTTGCCCTATTAGTGCAAATGTCAGTAGAGTGAAAAAGGAAAATAATGTCTGGGTATTATTACGAAAATAGTTTGACCTTGTAGATCTTCCCAGCCCCCATTCCATGGACCACCCTTTGAGAACTATTGTCCTAGAGCTTGGAATCAGATGGCAAGACTGTCTTGGGATGGAAAAGGTCCCAGCAGCGTGGAGGCTGGTAATTTTGCTGCTGAGGAAACAGCATAAAATGTGCCCTCAAATCAACTACGTAATTCAGTGGGACTGGTGGATGAGTTTCCTTTTAAAGGAATCACAATGATTTATTGGGAACAATGAAACCTACATGTATTTAATTCAGCGTAGATAAACCACACTAAATGGAGCAAAGCACGGAAAATGTTCTCAATCAACAAAATTCCAATTAGAGCCAGTTGCTTCTTTAAACATACCTGTAAACATACCTGTAAGTATCTTTAGGCTTCTGCAAGTGTTTCCACTGCTGCGGGCTCCCCAAGGGATGGGTGTAATTAACACGGCTTATCACCCATTCCTTCATTGATTGGCTTTTGGTGCTAGGGATACAGTGCTGGATAGACAGACAAGGTGCTTGCTGTCCTGCTGCTCACAGACACATAGGGGAAGCGTTAAATAGTCACACAAATGTCAATATGATTACAACCGTGCTCAGGGTTATGAAGTACAGGAAGTTTTGTGGCGGTGGGGGACTGTCTTGGGCCCGAGGCCAGCGAGCAGGAGTTGGAATCAGCCAGGTGAAAGTGGGGCGTGGGTAGGGAAGAGCCTCCAAGGCAGCGGATGGGTGTCACGGAGGCTCCTAGGCAGGAAATGTCTGGAGAGGTTTGAAGTCCCGCCCGGGAAGTCCGTTTTGGCTAGAGCCTGGCGGTAAGGTGGCGCGAGATGACGGTGGAGTGGCAGGTGCAGGTCAGGGCAAAGGCCTTCTGGTGGACTTATTTCAGTTCCTGGAAACTGCCAGGCTCTTCTCTGCCGCAGTCCTGGACCCATGCAGATCCCTTTGCCTAGAAGATTCTTCCCGTGTTCTTCCTTCAGGCCTCAACCGAAATGTCACCTCCTTTCTAAGTAGATCTCTTTTTGTTCTCCATATCAGCAACCCTTTTTCTTTGCATAGCGATTGCTTTTGTGTGTCTCTCTCCTCTATGTTCCCTGAGGGCAGGGCCCCTTCAGTCAGTCTGCGTTTGCCCTGTGTTCACCCTGCATCTCCTGTGCTCTGCGGTGCGCCTGACACGCAGTTAGCACTCAGAAACAATTGTTGGACGAATGTGTGAACGAACAGAGCTGCATCTGAGATTCTGGCACCGTCCCTTAACAGCTGTGTGATCTTGCACAAGTCACATAACCACCCCGTACTCAGTTTCCTATTCTGTAACGCGCAGACTGTACTTCCTATTACGAAAGGTTTTGTGAGACGCAACGAGGCAGTGTGTGTGGAAGCACCTGGCAGGTGCCCAGCTCCGAAAGAGGTGGGTGCTCCTGAGTGTCAATTGTCTTTCTTCCTTCTCAACTCCCATTTTGTGCTTTTCACTACACTATGATATACGGTGAGCCTGGGCCTCGATGAGCCCAGGCTGAGTTCTTTCCTGGCAGTGGCAGCAGTAGTGGGAGGAACAAGAGGGGAGGGGAGGGACAAAAGGAAGCAACTGGTGGCAGTTGTTGTTGTTGTTTTTTAAAACACAGTCTCGCTCTGTTGCCCTGGCTAGAGAACAGTGGCATCATCCTAGCTCACAGCAACCTCAAACTCCTGGGCTCAAGCGATCCTCCTGCCTCAGCCTCCTTAGTAGCTGGGACTACAGGCACGCGCCACCACGCCCGGCTGAGCAACTGGTTTAGATGGAGAGTGGGTGGTGGGGAGGAATTGCTGAAAATGGGCCAGACTTTGGGTAGTGGAATTATGGCTAGTTTTAGTCTTCTTTAATATACATACATTTTTAAAAAAATTTTTGAAATAACCTGAGGCCTTTAAAAAAAGTTGCAAAGCAGTAGAGAGTTCATGTTTGCCCTCCACCCACCTTTCCCCAATGTTAACAACTCCTAAAACCACAATACAGTGATCAAAACCAGGAAATGAATGTTGATACAACGTTATTAGCTAAATTATAGGCCTCATTTGAACTTTACCAGTTTTCCCCATAATGACCTTTTTCTGTTCTGGGATACAATCCAGGATCCTACATTGCTTTTAGTTGTCATATATTTCCTTAGTTTCCTTTAATCTGTGACAGTTCCTCAGTCTTCCCTTGTCTTTCATGACCTTGACACTTTCGATCAATACTGGCCAATCACTTGCAGAATGTCTCACAATTTGGGGTTATCTGATGTTTTCTTATGAGTAAATTGTGATTATGCATTTTTGGCAAGGCTGCCACAGAAGTGATAGTGGGTTTTTTCCAGTACATCATATCAGGGGTATATCATGTTGATATACCTTATTAATGGTGATGTTCCTCTTGATTACTTGGTTAAAATATTGTCTACTGGGTTTCTCCACTGTATACTCTTCTTTTTAAATTGTATTTAAACAATTTTTTTTTTTTTTGAGACAAAGTCTCACTCTGTTGTCCTAGAGTGAGTGCC